CGGCGGCTGCAAGCCGTGCGGGCTTTGCTTTGGAGCCGGGGGGGGGGAGCGGCGAGGCCCGGCGACTATAAGCCGCCCAGGCATCGCTTTGGAGGCGGTGGGAGATCAAGCGGGGGGTGGAGGAGACGGAGGAACCGGCGGGATGGGGGGGAGCTTACCTGCTCCTGCTGGTTCCTCCTCCGCCTGCTCAGTTTGCAGCTCCCCCCGTGAGTTTGCAGCTCCCCCCGTGAGTTTCGTGGGTCCTCTTTCTTGTTATTTATATTACTGTTAATTGTCGGGATATGTAAAATATTTTCAGATGTTTTAGATTATGTTAAGTTGTTTTAGGGGGGTTGCTGCTTTGATTTTGAATGGTTACCCTCTGAGAAGTTGGTTAAAACATTTTATGGGGATAACAGCAGATACATACGAATCTACTTTGCTAGTCAAATTTGAATCCCCACCCCCACCCCACTCACAGCAGCTTCTTTAATGCTAAAAGGTTTAGGGAGGGACATCTGTATTTTGCTTCTAAGAACAAGACCAAAAGAGAAGAGCAGCATACCATTCCTGTTGAAAGAGAAATACTTTGGTTTTTAAAAAGGGAAATTATACTTGTCTGAAGAAGTGAGCTTACACTTGGGCCAGAAAGGAAATTCAATTAGAAACCTTGCTTGAGCAGTTTTTTAAAAACCCAGTTAATAAAATAATCACTGCTTTGCCTGAGGCCTCCCCGGGTGGCTGGCCTTAAATCTTTTCCTTCTGGCCACTGCAAGAGGAGACTTTCTTGCCCAGGATAGAATTGCTTGCTTTTGTTATCGTTTTTTGGCTTGTGTATCTGCGTGGATTTCTTTGCCACTTCCTGGTATATAGCTATTGAAATATATGCAGTATCAACGGTGTTATCATTGTGTCCCTATTTTGCATAGAGTTAAAGAAAACAACAATCCTGAACTTCAGTGCAATGAAATTGCTGCAAGCCTTAAAGCCTGACCGGCAATCTGTAATCTATTTGGGGTGGGGTCTGGAGTCTCTTCTTAGTGGCCGGACTGAGCGTTTAGGTTTAGCTTTACCCTAAAAGGCCTGGAGCAGAATAAAAAGTAGAAATTCTGTTAAATTAGTTTAAAGCGGCTGCCTCCCCCCTGCGCTTGCCTTCCTCTTTGAGCAGCGTCACCCCTCATCTCAGTTGCGTAGGATTCTAGCTCTTCTTTCAAAAAGTCCCCACGAATTCACCCCAAATAAAAGAGAACTTGCCCCGTTTCAATATGATAGAACAGCAGCAAGAAGCTCCTAAAGCTCTCCTTAAGAACCATCCACACTTACGCCGTGCTGCTTCAGAGTAGCTTGCCAGTTGGCTAGCCTCTGTTTTACCACCAGAAGGACTCCCAGTCCTACGCGCCCTGCCTATCAGTGTCTCCTGTTTAGGGTGCCATAGCCTCCTGCTTTAGAGATGCCAGACCTGGAGACCCCTCTGAATTGCAGCTCATCTTCTGAGTCAGAACTTCTGAGTCAGAGGACCCCAGCCTCACTCGAGGGAGCGGCTTTGTTTCCGAGTGAGGCCAAATCCCTCCGTTGCCAGTTTACACGGGGCGTGGGGGTGTGCGTACACACATAGCAGGGATTTCATGGCCAGGGAAGACCTGATTCAAAGTCTGGAGAAACTGGCCATCCCTTCTGTAATTGTGGCCATCCTCACAGTCATAGTAGCTCTAGGGAGATTTATCGTTTGCCAGTAATATTCCAATAGCTAGAAATAAGCCTCTATTCTCCGAAAGGGAATTGCTTTGACAGGAAGTAAGACTTTTTTTTATGGGAAGGGTGAAGCAGTGTTCCAAGTGGGGCGGTACATCTGTTGGCCACAGCCCTGTGAGGGGTCTTGACAATGCACTCATCTAATGACTCTCAAACATCTTTTTGAACAGTTCAAAAAGAGCCTAACTTTTGAAGATGCTCCAGAGCATAGCAGCAACGAAATGCCCAATGTGTTTGGATCCATGGAATTTCTAGGTTCCTTCGAAGCTCAACCTGTACCGTGGATTACACCCAAAGCCAAACAGGTAACTGTACCTGAGGGATACTCTGCCTGCGGGGTACTTTTTAACAAAGTTAATACCTCACCAGTGCATAATTTCAGTAACTCTGTGGGAGTAAATTTGCATCCTGTTTAAACGGAAGCATCAGCCTGCAGATGTTGTTCTAATTCTTAGAGAATCTAGCACTACCAAATTTCTTGGATAATAACTTTTTCTCCATTTGTTTATATATGCGTCTCTGAGTACTAAAGAGGTGTAACTAGAGGGTTGTTCATAATGCAAATAGCAAAAAATTTATGGCTGCAACCTGTGCAGCAGCTGCTAATGAGAAAAGTCTCACATCAAGACTCTGGGAGGATGGGACACGTTTCAATATCTGACAGAGAATCCCGCCCCATGGAGCAGTATTCTGTCCGACCGAGACCGTAGACTATCCGTGTGGGTCTGGGCTTGAGAGGTGTGCCATCTTCACATGCAGCTTCAGTGGACCTTAATCAAAATATATATATTTTTAAGCACCACGTATTCCTGGATGGTGAAGAATTCACTCCGCCTCTTCCTCCCATGCCGAGAAGAGGAGCGTCGTCAAAGAAAAAGGGCAACAAGGAGAACTCTGATGCCAAAGCAGCAGCAAACTTTGAGCCTTTCGTGCTTCCGGCTCCCAAGACTCCGATGTGGGCCATGAATGAGAAGAGGGTGCTGACCACCCCGAACCGTGCGCTTCCAACTGAAGGTACAGAGTGGGGTCTGAGATCAAGGAGGAAGCACCCACCCTCAGAAGTTAAGGGGTTTGGGTGATTTAGTGCAGAATGGATAACACCTGTTGGGGGCGCCAGCTGTGCTGCTTGAAAATATGGATGCCCCATAATCCTCCAGCTCGCGTCCCAAAGTGGAATGGTAGTCTGCTGTTCCCATGCTCAGGGAGGCTGACAGAATACCATGACACAAAAATACATGAAAAGCGCAGGGCAGAGCACAGAAGACAGGAAAACCCCTGCAGTGCAATACTTCAGTTGGCCTTCAGTGAGGAAAAGCTGTCCCCAAACACTTGCTGAACCAAGTGGGGTAATTTTGTTCCTTTGGAAAGCTAAAAGGGCAAGAGCTTATTTGTTTTTCTCCTCAGGTTAAGGTATTCTTGAACTTTAGGGGGGGCAACTCAGAGAAGGCCTTTGATTCCCTTATGACTGGGAGTTTCAGAAAGGCCTATTCTATAGACAAATATATGGGGAGGGGTTGTATTGGTTGTTGGTCTTGTAGTACGGGTAGACCGGGGTGGGTTTTATTGACAGGGGTGGGTTTTACTTGTATTTAATTGTTTTTGTAGTGTTAAGCTTATAATTTTCCTTGCTAATGGTCTTGAGGAGGTGTCTACAGACAGGATACAAAGTATAAGAGGTTTTTTTTAAAAAAATGAACTTTTAACCGTTTGCTCAGGTTTCAGCAAAATAAACTTAGCAGCTTTTTAGATTCTGCACAGGGAACAGATTTTTTTCTTCTTCTAGTATTTTCTTTGAAATCCACCTTTTTTCTTTGAACGCTACCTCTTGGCTAGTCAGTTTAACAAACGCTGTTCTAAAAGTACCTTGAGAAAGGCAAATTTGTTGAAATGGTTAAAATATGTATCTTAATTCTTGTTGATTCTTGCTCCCATTATTGGAAAATGAGGCATTTGAATGCAGTTCTCAACTGTGCAGTAATAATAGATGTATCTATACAAATTTGGACCCACGAGAACTCGCTGGCAAAGGAAATACTGCTCTCTTTTCCTGGCACTCACCTCCTGGCACATTTGGTTTCTCCCTTTTTACCACCGCCTCTGCCTCACAGTGGTACTAGCCGGCCCCACTGCCTACTCCCTTTTTGGATTGCTATAGCACAGGAGCCCCGACGTGGTGCCTGTGGGTGCCATGCCTACCAGCACCTTTCCTGATGCCCACCAAGTGCTTTTAGAAAGTGGGTGGAGCCAGGTGAGGCTTTTGATCATCAAGGTTTCTGATTGGCCACTGGAAATTTGATTGGCTGTGCAGGCGTTGCTTTGGCAGCAGCTGCCACCACAGCACAAAGATCTTTACTGTCCGACTGAAAGTAAGTCACAACAGTCTTTTTGTGGCTTGCTCCACCTTTTGCAGCAGCCATTTTGTAGCTGTGCCCACCACATTGTATCCAAAGTGCCCGCAGGCTCAAAAGCATTAGAGACCCCTGCTGTTAGCAAAGGCCTCCGGAATCTGGTTTTCTTTCCTGATGTGTTTACATGTGGAGACTTCGGTAACATTTCTGTGTGTGCTTTTCTGCCAGCTTAGAGTTTTCCCACATTTACAGAATCCTACATTTTAGCACTAGATGGTCTATTGTGCTTTTTTGGTTAATTGGTTGGGTGGGTGTTTTTGTGAGTATTTTTGTGTGTATATGTGCGTGCCTGGAAGTCATGGGAGACTTCTGGCTACCCTTACTGTGGGCTTGGATGTTTTTCAGAGAGGTGGCTTGTTAATGCCTGCCTCTGCGTCCCAGCCCTGGTATTCCTTGGAGGTCTCCCATCCAAGTACTTGACAGGAAGGATCGGGCTTGCCTGGACTATCCAGGTCAGGGCTCATTGTGCTATTTTTTTATCTGTACGGGGGTAAGCCCTTGGCTGTTAGATATAAGGGTAGTCATTCAGGTACTTTCAACTGGTATTCCTAATAACCAGTCTATGAAGTCTAAATTTTCCCTGTGTTGTGAATGATGAAATGAGCCTAAGAGACTTTCTCGAGACCAAGGATTGGGACCAGGTTTGAGGGGCACCCCCTCTGCCTCTTAGATGCTGTAGACTACTCTTGGTCTTGCTAGCTACACAACCTCTCTGCCCACCAGTGTTCCCTCTAAGCTGAGTTAGTGTGAGCTAGCTCACAGGTTTTTAGCCTCCAGCTCACAGGTTTTTTCTTAGCTCAGGAAGGGCGGCTCCAGAGCAAACTAATTTATGCAGTAGCCAAATCGCTGGCTCACAGCTTTAATGCCAGTTGCTCACAAAGTAGAAGTTTTGCACACAAGACTCCACAGCTTAAAGGGAGCATTGCTGCCCACCTCTGTTTGGGGTATCTAATATCTGCATGCAAATTCCAAATTGTAATAAGGCCTCTTTTCCTAAATCTGTGTGCTACTACTTGCAGAGAGCGGTCCGGCCATGAAAGGGAGCCCAGCTAAGAAGCCACCGACTCCGACCCACCCAGAGGAACTGGTGACGGGGATCATTAGCCCTGAGAGAAGGTAAATGTCCACTTTCCTGAGCATATTTCAGATGACACAATAGACTATCTTAATCCTTGTACTGATTGGGGGGGGGAAGCTTTTTAAAACGGCATCTCTGTTTTGCTGTGTTAAACCCCTCTTTTAAATCCTTTCCTGCACCTACCAACAAATGTAAAAAGGCTGGGGAGGTTAACTCTTAACATTACACACTTCAGTAGTCTTGGATACATTCCTGTTTTCCATAATTAAAATTCATTCGTGCCCCTGGAGAATTGGAGCACATATACCATTCGCTCTCAAAATCCCAATTTGCTGTTGTGCTGCAGATCCTTTTAAACCGTGTCTTTGTCTGGCAGATTCGGGGGGCAGAGGCTGAAATACTTTTTATTGGACGTATTTCCCGGTGACCAGTTCCCAGCCACTGAAAACCAACGTGTGCTTTGTTGTCTCTCCACCTGCCAGGTGTCACTCCTTAGAAGTGGATCTGAACCAGGCTCATCTGGAGAGCGGTCAGAAGAGGAAAGGGGCCAAAATGTTCGGAAGCTTCGAAAGAGGCTTGGATAAAGTGATCACGATGCTCACACCCGGTAAAAGGAAAGGCTCGACAAAAGAAGGCCCGAGGAAGCTGCGGGTAGGCTGCTCAGGCCTAAGGAGGCTCTTTTTTTTCCCTATGGCAAATGTAGAAAGGAGGCTGTGAAGGATGAGGCCAAACTCCCCCCCCCCCAAAAAAAACCCCAAACTGCTGCCAAGTTGGTCTACAGTCAAAGAGCTAGATTTGAGTCCAGTAGCACTTGGGCATCATTTTCAGGGGCACGAGCGTTCCAGATCTGCAGGGTGTGGGCCTTCAGGAGTCAGAGTTCCTTTCATCATATCTGAGGAAGGGAATGTTGACTCTTGAAAGCTGAAACCCGAAAATCATGCTGGTCTCGAAGGTATTAATTGGACTCAAATCTAGTGATGTTGACCGTCAAGGGGGCTTTTCTCCCTTCCCACCTTCTTTCCACCCCACTGCCTAACGAACCGCATATTCCAAAGCTGTTTGTATTGTGCCAAGTGACGTCCAACACCAGCTCCTTGCGTAAAGCCCACTCTTAGCAATCCTGCCCTGCATTTCCTTAGTCCGTAGCCGCTGCTCTAAACATCCCTTGCTCTGTGCTGATATGTATTTATTTACTTCATTTGTACCCTACTTTTCTCCCAAATGGAGATCTAAACCAGTTTACAACCCAGTTTCTCCGTTTCATCCTCACAACAACCTGTTAAGGTAGGTTAGGCCGAGACGGAGTGACAGGCCCAAGGTCACCCAGCAGGCATCTGTGGCAGAGTGGGGATTCGAACCTGTCACCCGGCTCCTTGTCCAGCACTGCACCATGCTGGTGGTAACAAGCCTTACCGCCTGCCTCATGATGACAGTCCGCACCGAGGCCTAGGGCAGCCGAGTGGCTGGGGGTGCCCCTTTCATTTCTGGCAGCCCACCAGAGGGAACGGGTTTGTACTTAGAGCACTTCATAGTTAGCATGTATGTAACCTTAGGGGGAGGGTAAAATGAAGCACGTGGCTTTTCAAGAATCAAGGCTGATTGGGTGGCAGATCTTTAGACACTGGTGTGGGATACCTAGGTTTCCCCATCTAAAGAAGTTTTTCCTCATTTCATAGCAGCTGAATAGCTTACAGGCTAGCAATGCCATTTTTTTTTTTTTGCAGTTCACAGTGCTGGGCCAGCCGCCACGGTGATTAAACATAGATTGCACAATAGATTCTAAACTTACTAACTTGCCTTTGCCTTTCAAAACAAAGCTTTCCAAGCACACTTGTCAGCATTATCTAAACACTCCCCCCCCCCCCCATAATGTTACACTTAAATTCACAAACCGGTAAGTTTTACTGCTTTCACCACTGAAGGGGCAGTATTTGGAAGGTTACTCACAGATTTATCTCCCGAATAATGGTCTGCTTTGGCTCTGTCGGCTAGAACACACAAAAAATTAAGGCTATCAGCTTTTTTTTTTTTAATTCAACTACAACAGAATCACCATTTGTTTAACTGAATGGCTTTTTCAACCTAGCCCATTTGATCAGGCCATTATGAGAATGCAGAAAGGGTCCAAACACCAGGCATGAGTAGTCAAGTGGGAACCAGATCTCTAGGGCTCTCAGAGATTTCCCCCACGGTTGGAATTTAAACATCTGAGCAAATGGACAGGGAGCCATAATAGTTACCACTTGTAACAGCCTTCCATCTAAATCTCTTGGTTTGGGGAAGGGGGATAGCTCGCAGGTGGTGGGAACACAAGAGCTTGGTCACCATAACACTGTTCTGCAGTGTCCATATTAAAACAAATGTAGGGGGGGAACTTAGGAGGTACCAAGCCAAAACTAGTCAGTATTTATTATTTAGAACATGTATATGCTGCCTCTCTAGAGACAGCTCTCAAAAATATGATGCAGTGAAAGCATAAAATCTCTGCTGTAAAGACAGCATGAAATACCATTCAGTAGTTTCATAAAGCAGTCCATAATGCTGTACATGCTGGGAGAATGGCTAGTTCTGTCTTGTAACATGGCAGCCACTTGTCAAATGTCCTCTACTGACGTTTCTTGAGACTCCATTACAATAAACGTGAGTTGCCCCCACCTCCTGAAAGAGTGCAGGTGTTGTGCTGGGGTTTTAACTTGAAACTTAGAACCGTGTCCTGAACATGCACACCAAGTTCCACTCTGATCTCAGGGTTCAAGGGAAGTAATATCAAACACAACGTCAAACGGGTGCATCAAAGTGCCCTTTGTTTTCCTGTTTGAGCTGTGCAATGTATACATACACATGCAGCTGCACTGTACTGAGTCAGACCACTGATCCAGTATTGTCTACTCAGACTGGCAGCTGCTCTCCAGGGTCTCAGGCAGAGGTCTTTTATGTCATTTACTACCTGGTCCTTTTAACTAGAGATGTTGGGGATTGAACCTGGAACCCTCTGAGTGCCAAGAAGATGCTCTGCCACTGAGCCATGGCCTCTGCCCATGTGTTGGCAGTGGCTCTTGGGGATATATAGTCTGAGGATCGCAATCCCTGGTGCTCCTTATTGCTGAAAGGGGATGGGGAACTGAAACTTTGATTTCCTGTGGCAGCTAAAGCTCCATACTCTAGCATAACTTCAGTCACAAGCGATTGTGGGAGGAAATGTTCTTTTTTTTCCCCCCTAGGCTCATTACAATGTGACCACAACTAACCTGCTGAATCCAGATGAGCTGCTGAAGGAGATAATTGCTGTCCTTCCTAAAAAACATGTTGAATATGTACAGAAAGGGTAAGCGTAAATACTTGTCTTGGCAGCTAATGGCTAGATCTCTCACTCCCCCAGGGCCATCTATCTCTTCTACCTTGTTTAAGGTGGTGCCCCTTGAGAAACAGGCATTCTGAAATCCTAGCACTGATTCCCCCGTGGAGGAGAAAGCACAAAGTCTTGGTGGCTTCTGCAACTAAAGGGAAGTTGAACGTACTGCTAATAACATCTTTGAAGATGTCAATTGGGAAGTAGTTGTTAAAGGGGGTCCCATGGTGGAGGGATGGAGCAGTCCTGCATACTAGCTCAACAAGGCGAAGAGTCCAGGCCATCCTTCTCCGCCACTTGCTGTTTGGGAAAGGAGTGCCTTTTTTGTTTTACAGGGGAGGCTTCAGGCGTTCTGTACACACACCCTCAGCAACCTGAACCAGTTCAATCCAAGAAACCCCCCCCCCCCCTTGATTCTGCTGTTCATGTTTCTCAAGCTAGTTCTTACATGGGCATTTTGGCTCTTCACCCTGTTCAGTCACTGTAATAATCTACACGGCACCCAACTTCTGTGAGCACCTGAGCTAATTCTCTCCCCCCCTCCTTAAACTTTGTTTTCCCACAGCTACAAGCTCAAGTGTCGAACACAGTCAGACTTCGGCAAAGTGACCATGCAGTTTGAGCTGGAAGTCTGCCACCTGGGCAAATCTGAAGTCGTGGGCATCAAGAGGCAGCGGCTGAAGGGGGACGCTTGGGTCTACAAAAGGCTAGTGGAAGACATCCTGTCCAGCTGCAAGTTGTAGCCCCTGGTTGCCCCATCAGGACACGGAGCGGCTTCAACTAGCTGTGGTTCATTTGGTCATCACAGTAAGGTCGAACCTGTCCAAAGGACTAGTGTGTTGTTTTTAAAATAGAAACTCGTTTTTGTGAATAAATATATAACTACCAGCTCATTCTGTCCTTGTCTTTTCTTTTTCCCTTTTTTTAATTGCTCACCTTTGGTACATTACTGTGATTTGTGCGTGTCTGCAGATGAGAACACTGAGCCGTGCCCTATCGAGCAGCAAAGGCAGCGTCTGAGAAATAAAATCTCATGAAGACTGTGCCACCTTTTATTTGGAAAGACAGAGGCTGTGGCTTGGATCTAGCAGGAGATTTCTGCTCATGGGGCTGGTGGTCTTCACCAGTTTCCCCCTCATGCTCTTCCGGGGGGGGCTCTCCCGTGGAACTGCATTTTGGGGTGCAGCAGGAAGGGGAGGTGAAGAACTCCTTCCCATCAGCAGAATATTTGCTGGATCCCATCCTCTGCATTCAAATTCTGAAATCCTTTTTTTTTTTGGTACTAACCTCATAATGAGGAAATGGAAGACTTTGTACAATTTGAAACAAAGGCTGTGTTTTGATGTCATACTCAAACTCTAGGTTGTGATGAGGACAAGTCTCATTCAGATGAAGACATACGAAGCTGCCTTTTCTTGGATTGGACCAGTGGTCCATTGAGGTCAGTAATGTCTCTTTTGACCGGCGGCAGCTCTCCAGAGTTTCAGAAAGAGGTCTTTTAAGAACATAAGAGACGCCAATGTTGGATCAGGCCAAAGGCCCATCTCGTCCAACACTCTGTGTCACACAGTGGCCAGAAATACCATTGCCATCAGGAGGTCCACCAGTGGGGCCAGGACATTAGAAGCCCTCCCACTGTTGGCCCCCCCAAGCACCAAGAAGACAGAGCATCACCTGCCCCAGAGTTCCTATCTATACCTTGTGGCTAATAGCCACTGATGGAGCTCTGCTCCGTATGCTTATCTAATTCCCTTTTGAAGCCGTCCATGCTTGTTGCCGCCACCACTTCCTGTGGCAGTGAATTCCAAGTTTTAAATCACCTATTGCTTGATCTTTTAACTGGTGATGCCTGTGGTTGAACCTGGGACCAGATACATGCAAAGCAGATGCTCTACCACTGAGCCACATCCCACTCCAAATTCATTCTCTGTTCTCCAGCCCAACTCCCTTTTCCCCCCTCTTCCCAAGACTGAAGACTTCCTGGTTCGAAAGTTTGTTTTATGTGATGTCCAAATGAGGCCACTATAACACACTGAAATTAAGCAAGACAGGATTCTAAAAAGGTGAAAGATTTATGTGATATGAAGAGAAACGAGAGGATTCTAAACCAGGGTGTAGTTTCATAATCCCAGTTTGTAAACAAGAAGCAAACTACAGTTTGTTATGACATCCAGACTGGGCTGCTTCAACTAACTGCGGCTTGAACATCTCCTAGGCTGAAAGAAACTCCCTCAATGTATGGGGTTGGGGTGGGGGGGGCAGCATGTGATCCTGAAACTAAACAAACCAGGATTTCTGTGGTCTCTGAATATACCAAGTCATGGCTGGCTCCAAAGATAAACTCGATTTGCTGTTCCAACCAACCTGGCTTTAATCCGTGGAGCTACAATACTGGGCACATCTAAAATTGTGGCTGTTCGTTACTGAATGTCATTGATCGAAATCCATCTGCAGAAGTGTTTATTGCAAGCTCGACAACATAATACTACCCTCTGGCTGGACAGACATTCCAAAGCACAAGTAATTGTCCCAGTTCGTGTAAGAGCCCACTGGAGAACATCTGCTGTCATTAGCTCCTGGCCAGCTGGAGGTTTCCATCAGTTCTGACACCTGCAGTGGCTACTCACTCATAGCCGTCCTTTCAGCATCGGTGCTCCCTTTTGGACTTCTCCCCTTCTAGTGGAATAAACTGATTCTGTGGTTTTATTTTTCCTCCAAGCAATGGAGAAGCTGAGCCATGGAGATCACCATCCAGCCCCACGCCAGTCTCCAGCTCCCCACCTAAACGACCTCACAGGATTGCTGTAAAGCTAAAATGGGGGAAGGAGAGCGACATATGGCGCCCTTGGTTCTTTGGAGGAAAGATGTCACGCCAAGTAAAATGGTTGTACAAAGCAGTGTGTGTGGTCATAAAAAGTGTCCGTCTTCTCCTTTGTGCCCACACTTCTTAAACGAAAAGCAAAACAGCCAGATGATAGCAGATCCAAGGTTACCTTTTGTGCTGTCATGTTTGCAATCGGTTCTTTTTCCCTACCCACAGCTTATCATGTGGTTTTCTTGAATCTGATTTTCCTGGCAGGTGAGTAAAGAACTGGGGAAATGACCAAAATGCCCACTGATCAACTGCTCCCGTTACTGACTTCCCCGAGTTCTTAGTTTGGATGACGCTGGTCCTCTCCTCTGGCTTGTCATTTTTGGAGAGTAGTTGGACTGCTTTTGGAGGGGGGGCAGAACTTTTCAGAGGATGTCACCGTGGCTGTGGGAAATGCCTTCAGAGCCTTCTCTGCCCTTGTTAATTTGGGTTGCCTTTCATTCAGAAGGGTAGTGAACACACCCGTGAAGCTGCCTTATACTGAGTCAGACTATTGGTCCCTCAAGATTGTCTGCTCAGGCAGACAGTGGCTCTCCGGGGCAGAGGCCTTTCACATCTACTGCCTGGGCCTTTTAACTGGAGATGCCAAGGACTAAACCTGGGGCCTTCTGCATGCCAAGCAGAGGCTCTTCCACTGAGCCACAACCCCTCCTCTTACTCTCTGGGAAGCAGAGGTGCCATTTTTTGAGGAAAAAACACAATTTTCATGACTGCCTTTGGTTCTAGAGATCTCACCTTTTAGTCCCTGGGTTGATAAAGTTGCATAAGTTGAGACCTTGACTTTGTCTTTAGGGAAGTCCTGGAACCATAGATCTTGGACGTGGTCTCTGTGCTTCGCACCCATGGGATCTAGTGTGTATGCGCTGGATTTTCGCGCCCAGACCTCAGGACAACACCACGGCACTCTCTTATGTCAACAAGCAAGGAGGCACTGTTTCCCTACGCCTCTGCGACCTTGCCATCCAATTATGGAACTTCTGCATTGCCAACAACATTTTCCTTGTAGCCACACACATCCCCGGACACATGAACGTACAAGCAGACCATCTAAGTCGAGCAGGACTCAGCCTTCACGAGTGGGGGATGAACCCAACATACCTCCTCCCACTCTTCCACAGGTGGGGAGCTCCCCAAGTTGATGTCTTTGCCACCAACGCCAACAAAAGGTGTCCTCTGTTCTGCAACCGGGGAGGCAGGGATCCACAATCTCTGGGAAACGGTCTCCTTTACCCTTGGTCCACGGGACTTCTGTACCTCTTTCCTCCCTTACCTCTGCTTCTGAGAGTCGTCCGCAAAATACTCAGAGACTGCGTGGCCTGCATCTTAATAACCCCATGGTGGCCAAGGCAACCATGGTTTTCGACAGTCCTCGAATTATCAACAGGAATATACCATCAATTGCAGGAATATACCATCAATTCCCTCCGGCTCAGGACCTCCTCCTCCTGTCCAACTCCCCTCTCCTACATCACGACATACCACAATTGAAATTGACAGCATGGAGGATAACTTCACCGATTTCTCCACCCACATAGTGAACGTTCTGTTGAATTCCAGGTAACCTACTACGCGGAGGTCCTACAATTATAAATGGCGAAGGTTCTGTTCTTCCTTAGGTGATGATGCCCCTCGAGCCACCTCAGTGGGTCTCGAAAGAATTTTCCAATTCCTCCTCTCCCTAGCTGACTCTGGGAAAGGAATTTGTAAGCCACTCTGTGACACCTTTGGGTAGTGAAGGGCAGAGTATAAATCCAATCTTTTCTTCTTTTACCTCACAGGGTGTCTGTGTTGGGGAGGGGAAGGGAAAGGAGTTTGTAAGCTGCTCTAAGACGCCTTCGGGTAGTGAAGGGCGGGGTATAATTCCAATCTCTTTTACTTCACAGGGTGTCTGTGGTAGGGAGGGGAAGGGAAAGGAGTTTGTAAGCCGCTCTGAGACTCCTTTGGGTAGTGAAGGACGGGGTATAAATCCAACCTCTTCTTCTTCACTTATGAAAAAGCCCTAGTCTACTTGTCATTTGGAAATACCTGGGGGTGTGCTTCTACAGTTCTGGTCTTCAACAGATCTCATGGCAATGAATAGACCTGTTGTGGGATTGCAGTCAAGCCCCTACCATCCAATCAGTGAAAGCCTTGCCTGCCCCTTGGCTTCTGAGCCTCCACCTGCCCCTTTCTGGAGGTCTCCAAATCCTCCCACGAAGAACTTTTCCAGAAACTTTCTTTTTAATGAGATTGTCAGGATGTCGGATTCTATATGGCAGGTGCCAGGATAGCTGGGAAATTCCTGGTGCTTTGGGGGTGCCGGCATTCAGCTGGATATAATGCCCCTGGAGCCTACCTTTCAAGGCAGCCATCGTCTCCAGGTGAACTGATCTGTTGTTTCGAGATAAGTTGTAATCCCATGAGATCACTAGGTGCCACCTGGAGTTTGGCAACCATAGTATTTCACTGCTGGCAACACCCAGGGAGGATCTTCCATCCTGAGTCTTTTCTCTTCTATTTCTCCTCCTCCTGGCACTTTTTGTACTGAATTTCCAGACAAAAGATCTGTGCCATTCAAAATCTTGTACAGCTTTTTGTGATTGCTTGAGCCTAGGGCAAAGGGACTTCAGTTTGGAGTTCTTCCATGGGCTGTGGCACAACCTTGCTTCATTCCTACAATTGTTGCGGTAAGGCTCTGAACCATCAGCGCACGCATGCCTCTATACTTGAACCTCTTCTGTTTGTTCCGCAACCTACAGCAGCTTTGTCTATTCTATAGACCTTTTCCTTACCCTGCCCTGCTGCACTCTCAATGCTGCGTTCAGCTTTTATGGTAGGTCAAGTACAGGAGAATGAATTCACTTGTTGACTTGTATTTACAGAGGTGCCCTTCAAGCCTCCCACAGCCAAGAAGGTACAGGTGGCCTTGTTCTCCTCTATACTTTCTTAGACTTGCTTTTTCCTT